CTCCAGGAGTGCAACACGAATGCACATCTCTCGCAGAGAGTGACAGAAAGTGACATGGATCCGAACTCCGTTTGAATCCACTTAGTCGCGTCGCGAGGTGCATAGCAACACCGTTCGTCCAAGCTTCCTGTTGTTCGCATGTCCAGAACACATCCCACAAAAACCGTCACTGCAAAGCGAAAATGCAGCAAACCTCGTCGAAAACCGAGTCCCGAGGCAAAGGTCAAGGAAGCTGTTGAATACATGGAAGCCCTTGGTTCCCTCTCACCATGTGTCAAAGATGTCGCGAAGATGTTTAATGTGTCATATGATGTTCTCAGGTACCGATTGTCTGGAAAGCACAAACCTGCCAGTACAGCACACGAGCATCAAATGACATGCACCGTGGCACAAGAGGAGGTTCTCCTGGACTGGATGTTCTTACATGCGGAGGAGGGCCACCCATGGAGCGGGCAGAGGATTCTGTTGAAGGTCCGTCAGATGACCGGAGAAGAGAAGGGACCTGCCTGGGTCAAAAAGTTCAAGGATCGGCACAGCGATGTCCTGAAATTCTGCGGAACGTCAGGTCTTGATCCGAAACGGGCTCATGCATTCAACCCGACAGCAATCCGGAAGCATTTCACCGAATACGGTGATGCCCGGGAGAAATTTGGATACAAGATCACGAATATCTATAACCTCGACGAGAAGGGCAATCAGATTGGAGGTGGACGCAAAAGAACGGGGAAAAAGTACTTCGTCCCGCGATCTGACCGAGCCAAGTACAAGACCCGTGACGCCAGCCTCGCACTGGTTACTGTCATTGAATGCTGCTGCGCAGATGGGTCAATGCTGAAGCCCGGCTTCATCTTTCATGGAGGAACAGGCAAGATATCGACATACGAAAGAGACTGGTTCGAGGTCGATGAGGACATATCGTGAGTTTCCTGGAGTTGGGTGGGATATGTGAACTCTGACGTGTCAAACAGTATTGGCCTCACAGCAAATGGGTGGACGGATGATCTACAGTGTGAAAAGTGGTTCGAAGAGTCCTTCATACCCCAGGCGCGTGCACGCGCAGATGACCCCAGTGAACGAATTCTGCTTTGCTTTGATGGGCATGGCTCACACGTCACCGATCGCATGCGGATTCTTGCCAAAGAGAACAATATAGATTTTCATCTATTCGTTGCGCATACTACCCATAAGTGTCAACCTCTGGATGTCGGTGTTTTTGGGCCTCAGCAGCGGAAGTGGACAGAGCGGATGGAGGAGATCGCAGAGGAGACTGGCGAGGGATTGCAGCGAGCCGATTTCGTCAAGGAGTACATGGCAGTCCGAGCAGCGTCAATTACTGAGGTGATTGTGAAGGCGGCCTGGAGGAAGACAGGGTTAGAGCCCTTCAATGCTGATATTTTCACGGATCGGGACTTCACACCAAGCCGGGTTACATCAAAGCATGCTCGCCTTCCTGCGTCATTTCCAGCGACACCCAGCCCCGTAGCACCACAACCTTCATCGAACTCTCCTACTCCTCTATCTTCAGTGCTCCCTGGAGCAGAAGTTGGACCAACATACAACGGAGATATCGACCCAGAATTGCTGGAGGACAACAACGGACATGAAACATCTGTTGCACTCGGAAATGTGTCTGAACCGAGCATTTCACAGGAATCAGTGAACCCAACCACGTCTGATGGGCCACCGGAATCTCCAGCACCAGATAATCAGGCTGCCATGCCACTACCAAACGAGGGTGACAAGGTGCCAGAGTTTCATCGGTCCCCGATCCACAGGCGATTGCCACTTGCTGAGCAGTGCCGAATCTTGAAGCACGACCTCGACGCATGCCACTCAGCTTATCTCAGTGAATTCACCCTGCGCCAAAAGGCCGTTGCTCATTGTTCACTCGCATCTGCGGAGATCGAGTCACTCAAATCACGGCTCAACACTAGGCAACAGAAGAGCACTCGAAAATCACGCCGGTTTCAGAGCTCCCACAACTTCCTGATGGGCGAGCAAGCAGAGGCTGAGTTTGCCGAACGCCTGCGCGAGAACAACGCAAAGGCTGCAGCAAAGGCTGCGAAGGAGGCTAAGAGAAATGCAACAGATGAGGCAACTCGTCGTCGCCGAACGCAGCTTGCAATTGACAGGAATATCCGATTTAGGACCATCCCAAAGCGGAAGGCAGACGTTGAAGATCTTGCCTATCTCCTCCACCTCCCTCTCGACGGCACTGTGGCAACGCTGACTGCGGCTATCAAGTCTCATCTTCAAGAAACACCTCTATTGAAGACAGATTCACGATTTGCTGGCCTTTACGGCCTTCCGGTTCCGCCTATATCGCTGCCAGATCTCAACCTAGCAGCGACACCGACCCGCTCCGATGCTGCCCCGGTTCCAGCTACCACCGAGGATGATAACGGGGTAGGAGACTGCGCTGAAAGCGATAGTACGGAAAATACAGACGGGGAGGAGGATGGCACGGAGGATGATGCCGAGGACGGCTGGGGCATGGAC